ACCAAATCTTCTGATGTCTCTACTCGAATAGAAGGAGTGGCTTGCAAGATAGGGGAAATCGAGCGAGCTTGGCTAGGGTCTCTAATTTCTTCTACAGTAAGGTTCATATCGCCTTTTGCACTCTTCTTCTCTTCGTCTTCCTCATCTGCTTCTTCCACGATAGGACCTTCGTCTGTATCTTCAGATTCTGAAGTCGTCGTCTCTTCAGTTTGGTCCTCGCCTATCGCATCTGGTATCTCTATATCTACTGCTTCTACTTCGTCATCTCCGCGCAGGATATTGCCTATTCTCTCAAAGGTAGATTCGTTCGCCGTATTGTTCCCAATATCGCTGATGATCAAAGTGAGCTCTTGGGCCAGTGTGTTCGCGCGGTCTCTCTCCTGTTCGAGGATTGCTAATTCTTCAAAGAGTGCTTCTTGCTTCTTTTGTGAACGCTGATATTTCTTCGCTAGGATATCGCTCTTCGCGGCCTTCTTGCGAATCTCATCCCCAGTCAAAAGGTTCTGTGCCTCCAAGATTAAGACTTGGGATTTGTACTGCTCCACCTCTCCTTGTGCAGCGGCAAGTGCGGACGAAAACATCTCCTCCGCAATCTTAGGAGCATTTTGAGCCACCTCCTTGAATATTCTTAACTGACGTGACATATCAGTCCTCGCCGCTTCAGCTCGGAGTGCGACTTCCCGAACTTGCTCCACCATCGCATCAGAACTCGCCTTCTCCGCTTTGATCCGAACGACCACATCTTGTAGCTCTGCATTTTCGGCACGTAATCGCGTAATGAGAGCTTCGTCCTCTTCTGAGCGCACGTATGGTGGTGGAGCCATGGTTATATCAGTTCCTGCATCCGTCTGTAGTGTATCCAGAACACTGGAAACCTTGTCCTGAGAGAGTATAGCTTCAACTCCAGCGGGTTCAAGCGAACCGAATTGCTTCAAGGCCGTAGTTAGGCCAGAGATTTGCTCCTCAAAAGCGTGCTTGGCCAGTGCATGCTCGGTGACATCGTCTTGCAAGCGCTTTTCCAATCTCTCTCTTTCTTCCTGCAGCAAGGAGACCCGGGCTTCAAGTGCGGCTATAGTTGCATCTTTTGCAGCGACTTTCATTATGTGCTCTTGCCGCGAAACTTCGGTAGCAGGTAATGGCTCCGAATTGAGGAGAACAGAACCCCTAGGTGACAAGGCGTCGTTTGTGGACCTACTCTAGAAGAAAAGGTTGAGACCATTAAAGGGATAGGCATGAGATAGCTACTTACTTCGTAGTTGACGGTGGGTCTCTGTTGAACACCCCTACTTGCAGAAGTAGTGAGTGGTTTGACACGATTAGACGCGGCCTCAAGTTGTTTCCTGGATGGCTTGGGTGAGGGAGAAGGGCTGGTGAATTCTTCAATTTGGGAGAGAGGACCCTCTAGTCTAGCTTTAAACGCTGTAGGCGTCATTTGAGGTATCGGTCGAAGCACTGGTGGATTCTTGCGTGGATGTGATATTGGCTGATCGGGCTCAGTAAATGTTTCGGATTGATCCTCGTATATGTGCTGAGATTCTGGAACAACAGATACGCTGGATAGACTTTGAGATGTATCGACTTCGGCGCTCGCCTTTGCCGGTGGTTGCTGTTTGGAATAACCTCCCTTTTCTGAATTAAGTCGATTTTTTTCAGCGGAGGATTGTATTTCAGATGGCTGCTCATCATCCGAGTTGCTTTCATCCGGGGAGACGGCCAGCTTTTTACGCTTCTTTATAGGTCGGGCTGATTGAGATTCTTCCTCCTCTTCATCCCTTACGTCATGCGAGATTGGTTTACTGGAAGGCTTTGATTTGGGAGGTGAAGGCGACCTTGGACGCTTTTTAGAAACGTCGACGAATGGCACAAGGCCTCCCGACACCCGTTTCCGTATCGGTGAGGTCGATACAGCGTCACCCGGAGGATACCGCTCTTCTGAATAATTTCTCGGTCTTGAACTAGTTCGAGAGGGCTCATTTCCTTTAAGTTTGTGAGACAAGAGAACTTTGTAACCGATAATAACCTACGTTTCTCGCCTCGCGGTTTCTTCACTTCACGCCTACGCTTCTCCTCCTTCCAGTCCTGAATACACGCATCTGAACAGTCTTCTTTGGGTATCCATGAGGGTTTCCAAGGTTTGCCGGTCTCAGGATCCAGGCCAGCCCATTCAACCTCATATTTGGATCTTGACTCCCTCAGGATCCGATTTACAGGCCATAGCGACTGGGAATCATCAGAAGTATGGGGTTCAAAATGAGTCAACCCCTGTGATTCATCCCCACTGTCGCCTCTATTAGACATGTTATCGACGTTGGAATTCGACCAATGTTATAGCGGAGTTCAAGGTTGAGGTCTGTGCCCGACTACGCCAGTGGCAATACCACCATCTCTCATCATGCCTCCCAAGAAATCACCAGTAATGTTGAAAAGACTGAAACCCCTAACATATCACCGTAAGTGTCTCTGAAATATGTGTGTAATTTACTCATAAACCTAGAAACCGTGATCGAGATGTTGAAGTTTTGTCAGCTCCAAATCTTTTCAAAATCTTCAAAACCTAATTCTCTCAATAGTAGAGGTTTGCATACACACAATATTATTTGTCCGACGCATCTATCCTACGGAACTGTTTGCAAAGAGGAAGATATATGACGCACCCGTGTATCAATCAAGGCATCCGGATCTCAACAAGTATATCAGTGGCGCAGTCAAAAGTGTCGGAGATGAGCTAATACGGGTGGGTGATATATCTATAGGAATACAGGGATTAAACTTCTTTTCAAGGGCACCGTAGAACGTGTGGTACTTGTGATTAGGGACCGAGAAAATATTGCAATCGAACGCTTCCTTTTTAACTTCTCTGGTTTCATCTCAATTCCTGAGGATGCAGACTGGCAAAAGTGGCAAAAGTAATTTGGCTATCGGTGTTTATTGCAAACCACTGACTTTCAATAGCATAGAATCTGCAATGACGGCCCCTGTTCTAGCTCAGTATTTCCGATCGTTTTTAATCCGATTAGGAATGCTTGATTCTTATCTGGGCCTGATCCCTGCCCAGTGGGATCCTACATTTGCAGTCGTGATGGAAATGAAGGAAGGGAACATTCCATCCGAGCCTTTGACCAAGGTGCGACCTTTATATATCTCTACAGGCTGTCATACTGAACATTAGAAGCCCAAAGTCAAGGAAAAGCCTCCACGGGAGTGGATCCCCGCTATCGTGCAGAATACTACTGATGGAACCACCGCCGAAGCAGAGAACCACATTATCAGGGCTGTAGATACTGGTGTTATCAGTGTTAGGGCATTTGTTGTTATCTTTTTCTTACTGATATGACCCCTAGCTTTCATTAATTGTTCAAGAATCAGAGGAGAAACTCTTGCGTGTAGCGACACAGGAAGATAGTATGAAAATATAGTAAACTAGGAGTCGATTCCAGCTTGACTAGAGTTGATATGTCTACATCTCAGCCCAATGGGACGTTTGCAGAGCCTTTCATTAACTCCTTTAGCTTGTCCAATACCGCCTCTTGAGAGAGGCTCCCGTCCTCTTCTGTATCCATTTCAGTTTTATCCACAAAATGAACATTGAGCTCACCCGCTTCCACTTGTAAGAGATCCGAAAGTTGGATCAGCAGATGGTCATCAGCATCCAGACGGGACTGATTGTCGTCTATCTGGAAAATCGTAGAAAATTCTTGAAGCTCTTCCAATAGGAGTTCGCATTGCGCGTGGATTCGAGTAACAAAAACACGGAGTTTAGTCAAGCCAGAGTACAATAGGAGCGCCGCCGGTAGAATTCTCTGTCTCAAAAGCGTTTCCACCTATAAAATGTGATTTATCATCTCGCAGAATACTAGTGAAAGGTTACCTGCTTGAGGCACTCGTGCTGAGACTGGAGTATCGCCATTCGGTCCTGCTTCCGCGCCGCGTCCAACCGTTCATGTAGTACATTGATAGCTGAGGTTGGTGAACCTATGAGATCTGTATGTTTTAATTGATCCCATGGGGTTCCTTCTTCTAATTTATCTAGGAACTTCGCTACCTCTAAATCACAGAGTTCAGCCTCCAGGCTTTGTAACGCTACCGTCAGTAGCCATGGACTTGGAAGGATATTCGCCATTTCCTTTTCTTTAGGCTGTAGCAGTTTCCCAGATATTGTTTGGATCATCCCAAAACTGTCTTGTATGCAGATTGCTATCTTCTGAAGTTTTGCCTTGTATGCTCTGACATCGTCGAATTCTGGAATTTATCAGTAGCAGAAGGTTATTGTCCAATCTGAACTCGAAGCTCTCTGCTCTCAACGAGGCGGTAGAAAAGCAGACAAAAGAGGTGGACAGAATCTCTGATGATGTACGCTCCTGTTCCAGAACCATTCAGTTCTTTTAATTCCCTCCAGTGTGGCACGCTACTTTCAAGATGCATAGACTCAGCCACTCAACCCGTTCAATCACTCATTTCTGGTAAAAATATCTGGCATATACCTTCTTCTACTGATAAATTCCAGAATTCGACGATGACAGAGCATACAAGGCAA